TAGAAGACATCTTTATTCAATGGTGCAACATATCATGGTGAGTATCAGGAGTGAGAAGACATGAGGTCCACAATAGGTGAGTTCAAACACTACAGATGATTAAATAAATGACTGCCTGAGGGAGTTTTGTGCATACTCTGCCCAAATCAAATAACGACTCCAGATGTTTTAATTGGAGTGGCAGAACGTACGCAAGAAATGACCAACATCTTGGATTTTCATTCCGTTTGTCCATTTGTCTGAGGATGATAACCTGATGATAGGCTTACAGTCACGTTCATAAGGGTGAAGAATGCTCGCCATACTGGTGTATGAATCTTCGGTAAAAGTTGGCGAAGCCTAGGAATCTCTGGAGCTCCTAGCCCTACAGATTGAGGAGTGGGCCATGACACGATAGCTTCAGTATTCCGATCATCCATTTCCACTCCTCGTTCACTAAGCTGATAACCCAGAAACTCAACACTGGACTGTTGAAACTTTTCAGCTTGTAAGAACAGAGTAAATTCTCTGAGCCTTTGGAGTACTAACGACACGTGATGTTGATGTTTAACATGAGAAAATAAGAATGTCGTCAATATACACCAACACGAAACATCCCAGGAATTCTTGGAGCAGTTAATCCATGAAGCTCTGGAAGACGGAAGGAGCGTTTACCAGTCCATATGGCATGACAAGATACTCATAGTGCCCTGCAGGAGTAATGAACGCAGTCTTCCACTCATACCCTTCTCTGATTCTGACCAGATTGTATGTACTCCTTAGATCCAACTTGGTGAATATTCTGGCTTCTCTGAATTGTACAAGGGCTGTTTGGATAAGGGGTAGCGGATAACTGAACTTTACGGTGATTTTATTTAGGGCTCTGTAATCAATACATGGTCTTAAACCCCCATCTTTCTTGGGAACGAAAAAAAAGCTACCAGCTGCAGGTAAGGCGGAAGGGCAGATGTAACCAACTGTAAAGCCTCCTCGATGAATTTGTTCAGGAATTGGCAAGGAGTAAATTCGACCCTTGGGAAAAGACTCTCCAGGGACCAGATCAATGGAACAATCCCAGGGCCAGTGTGTGGGTCATTTGGAGGCAGCAACTGGGTTAAACACATCTGCAAACGAAGAGTAACAGTGGGGAATATTCATAGACAGGTTTTCCTTGGGACTTTCGATGGATGTGGATCTTGTGGTTCAGCACCGGGTAGAACAGGATGTGAGATTTGAATAAGAGGACAATGAAAACCCCAACTGTTGATCTTACCAGACTGCCAATTAATGGTAGGTTGATGACAATTAGAAATGGACAACCTAAGATTATGTCCGCTTGACTATTCTTGAGAATAAAAGGTTCAAACATTTCTTGGTGAATATTTTCAACACACAACATGAGGGGTGTTATCTGAGATGTAACATACCCTTTGTTGATCATTTCGCCGTTCACTGCATGGATGGAGTATGGCTTGGAAGTGTTGATCTCCTGGAGGTTGAGTCTTTTACAGAGTCGTCCTGATATAAAATTCCCTGCTGACCCAGTGTCAATGACGGCTGCTACAGAGTTGTGGAAATTTTGAGATTTCAGAATTACAGGAATCGTGAGCGGTGTCGATGGGTTTCGAACGGAAATCACTGTCAGCCAAGGGGGTCGAGTTGGACATGTACGTAGGAAGTGACCTTCAACGCCACAGTACAAACATAACTTCAATTCTCTACGATGGAGGCGTTCAGCTTAGGAAAGTCTGTGAGTGTCGACTTGCATTTTCTCCGGTGGAGTTTCAGATACTGATTCAAGAGAGCTTGATGGGACGTGGCATGAGAGAGTGGAGTATCTTGATAACAACTCTGAGATCTTTGATGTAAACGGAGAGTTTGTAGCATGAATTTTTCCAGTCCCAGGTTATCATCGTGTATAGAAAGTTGGAGACAGATTGCAGGATTTAAACCTCGGCGATAAACAGAAAGGAGAGCTTTTTCATTCCAGCCACTCAATACTTTATAATACTTTGAGACGGATTTCTGATCTTGTCGAAGCTGTAACAATTTATCGCTGATGGAAGAATCACTGATTGGTTGTCCAAACACTTCTTTGAAATGGTTAAGAAAGCTCTGCAATGATGTGGTAACCTTAGATTCTTGCATCCACAGTGACTCAGCCCATCTCAAAGCTGATCCGGATAACTGTTGGATGATGAAAGAGATCCATGACCAATCTGTAGGATACAGATGAGTTTGCTTTTCGATGGGAAGTGAACACTGCAACAGGAATCCATTAGCGATGCAGACTAGCGTGGGAACGGGATTAGCAGAAGCGCTGCCTGCTTGTGGTATCGAATTCTCAGCATTGGTTGGAGGTTGCACTGGAATGGCAGGGGTTGTAGGCTGTGTAGGATCCATACCGTTTTTTTTTTGGGTTGGGTCAAGCCTTCTATCAGGATACAAGGCACACAGAGATTGAGGTAAGTTAATATAACACAGCTTAATTCAATAGTGCAACATATCAAGGTGAGTATCAGGAGAGAGAAGACATGAGGTCCACAATAGGTGAGTTCAAACACTCCAGATGATTAAATAACAGTCCGTTCTGGGATATTAATACTGGTCTTTTCTCTTACGGGTTCTGGCATTGGTTCAACAGGTGGCAAGCGGATTTAGTGGAACACTGGAGATCGCTGGATGTCAGGTAACAAGTGGATACGGACAATGTTCCGGCAGGTCACAGATCAAGAAGCCAGAGGTTAGTCAATCACAGGTGAGTATACTTTAACGTTCAGAAGTTTTACAGGTATTGCAAGGAATCGACTACTGAGGATAAGGGTCAGTTCCTGTTGGAGACTTGACAAGGAACTGGGGTATTGCAGCGTGTTTTATGTGTTGGTGGAATGAGGTTGATTAATGTGAACAGGTCATCAGAATTCTGGGGAGAGTGATCGTTGTGTGGTGAGGGATGCTGAATCTGATTGGTTCCAGACGTTGGCGGAGCATTAACCATTGAGTATTAAGCAAAGCAGATGGGAATATTAAAAACTCGTGACCCTCATTTTTGCTAATGGCTGCTTTTAGGTGAAGGACTTTGATAGTGATGCCGTGCAAATTGATCGAACATAATTTATGAATCATAACCCGCAAAATTGTCTAGTGTCCTGATATGCATTAACCACCACAGTAGATTTTAACCCACAAATGCGGGTTGCTGGGGGTTCATTTCAAACCATTTAAATTTTAAACTATGTATATAAATTTTAATACATATGTATATGAACAAAATGATTTTAGTTCAGTAATTTTTAATTAGTAATTCTAATTTTAGTTTTTCATTTAATATTTGTATTTTATTTTATTTTAATGATCAATTTTTTTTAACAGTTTTAGTTAATAGTAACAACACTGGCTATTTAATAAATAAATAAAAAAATCCTAGTTTATGCCTGCACTTATGAGGAGATATAGAAAAGGTATTTTGTAAATCTGGTTATTATTTTTGATAACATATTTTTTCCACAGCAACTAAATGTTTATCATACATCAGATTTATAATTGTACATTTATGGTCACATGGAAAGCAACAATGCTGTGCGCTTTAGGACATTTAGGAATCTGAAAACTGTGCAGCAACGTCTTTGAAATATGCTAAACCCCTGAGTACATAATGCACACAGCCCTAAAAATATTACATAATGTATCAAAAGCTGTTATTACCCCTCTGGACTTCCTTACAATGATTTTGACTTCAAAGGTCTAGTCAGAAATACCTAATGAATACATTAACTTGTACAGAGTACACCACTCTCACTCATCTATCCCTCTTGCTCAATTAGATCACATATACTTAATCTTACGAACAATCTAGTTTGATTTCTCTTTGTGATGCTTAAGCCTTGCATCCTGCTTCACCCCGACAAACCCTCTTCATTATTTCCTCCCTTTACTCTTCATCATTATCAAACACAGCCGTGAGTGTCAAGAGGGCACATAGATAATAAATGGTGGTTAATATCACTGCTGATGTTGTATTAAAGCTATAATGTCCTTAGGGCATCACACTCTTAGTTGATCAAGGTTTAGAAAAGAGACCTGGTGAGAAGGGTAATACTTCCCTTAAACAGCATAGAAGACAGCTAATCTACACCTGCAGAGACTAAAAAGCAGAGAATAGCTGAAATCATCTTTAGCAAGCTTGGTTCAACCGATGTAATTTGCATGAAAATAAACATTAGAATTACCAGACATGCCTTTGATGCACCATGATGACATCAGAACGGTCCCAGACAGAGTTTTTGGGTACACTTGTCTGAATTAACACAGGGAAGGGTATGCCGTTGGCTTTAATGCAACATTCATTTAAAGCATGAAAAACGCAGATCACCACTGCTAGGAAATGCCAGGATGATTTCAGAATGTGTAACACAGGTTTGGCCTAAAAGAACTGCTGTCCACATCTCTCAACACATCGCTCATGTTAAATGAGATGTGACTAATGAGTAATGGAACAAACAGGAAAAAAGAAAGCAACATCCAACATTCATTAAATGCATCAATGTCCTTCCTGTGCCATCACCCACAGCTTACAAAGAAAATTAGGTCATTCAGGCTGGAGCATCTGAACCACATTTCAATGGTCAATATAGGGTCGCTGCATACAGAGCAGATTTAGTTCTCTATTGCAGTTCGACAAAATGACTCAATCTACAACATGTTAATGATCCTACAGAAATCTTTTGTGCTTAAGAAACATTTTGTTTTATTATTGATGTTTAAAGCAGTTGTGCTGATTAATATTTCTGTGGAAAATGTGATATATCTTTTGTTCAGCGTTCTTTGAGAGTTCAAACGAACAAATTTTCTTCAATGCATACTTCAAATCATTCATCATATTTCAAATCAAAAAAATTACTTCAAATTAATTCAATGCATATTTGCTGAAATCTTAATGACCTCATATTTCATTCATGAAACATTGTACCCTTATATACCAAATTTTCATTTTAATGTTCTTCTATCCTTCTGTATTCCAGAACAGTACCACCTAAACAATGCCGGCTTCCCTTTTGGTACACCGGCCGGACTCTCTCATCCTCAAAGCAACCTCAGCATACCAGGCCTGCATGCGCTGAATAAGTACAACTCTCTGAAAGCAGTTGGTAAGAACAGTGACATGCCACTATGTACACAGACATACTTTATTCACAGATTCTGAATAATTTCATGCTCTGCTGGATGGCATAAACAACAGTCCCTGAGTTTGACTGAAAAAGTCAGCTTCTATTGTGGTCAGGACCTGTCATGATCACCGTCTTGCTTTGTGTTAGGACTTTTAAGTTGTTGTGTTTTCTGTTCTAATTCTTTCTGTATTCATTGCCTATAGGGGAGAGCGGGGCACAACCTAACGCATTTAGGTTTTGGCTCAATTAATTAAAAAATAATTAGGTTAGATTTTTCTTTTTTTTTTTTTTACACAAGCAATTACACATCTCTGCTACAAATAATCTAGTTCTTTCAGGTCAAAGAGACTATTCATTCAAACATTTTGATGTTTTTATTGTTCACGATGCATAGTATATATCTTTGTTTGGAAGGCAATCAGTGGACACTTTCACACACAAAACCCATTAAACTGTGATTAAAGTTTCTTATTCTGGTAAATGTACCACATCCGCAAATTCACACAAAACAGCTACAGCACCAAAATGCTGTGAACTTTTAGTAATTTGCAGGATATTATCTTTAAATAGCCCCTTAACGTCAACTATTTTCTTCATCTGCTCACATGGAGAAAAGCTCTTTTGTTTCAGGTTTTGTCTAATTTGCTGGTATTTTCTCTACAAAATAGATAACGTCTTGGTTACTGTTGTAACCTCTGTTCCCTGATGGAGGATATGAGAGTTTTCTGCACGTTACCGACTCAGATAGGGGAAGGCGCCGCTATGTACATCTGGCCATTTTCCTGCTGCTTACCTGATAACACACAGGAAAAAAACGGGGCTCAAACCTGGAGATTCTAAAATCTCACATAAGTATTGTGTGTCGCCCAGCCTGCTGCTCTGTAGACGTCTGTTAAGAGAGACACCGTTCGTGAGAGACGAGGATGCACCATTTCACCATTTTTGAAATCAATACAGGGAATAGACCAGAAGCCAATGCAAGTTCCTAAGCACACCAGATATGCTGACGAAAAAAAGTGTGTAAGAACACGTGCAGCTGAGTTCTGTATGTGTTGCAGTCGCTTGATAGACTTTGCAGGTAGGCCAAGATAAAGGGCATCCCAGCAAACAAATGGGAATGTTCTGGGAGCGTTAGTTTTTGGTTCCCAGAATGTTCCTAGAACTTTTCCTTAAGGTTAGGGGAATGTTCCCAGAACGTTCTCTTTGCGTTATAAAAATGGAACCTAAAAATAGCCTACATGGAACGTTCCCATAACGTTCTTGTTTGGTTCCCCAAAAAAATAACCTCATGGGACCATTCAGGAACGTTAGGGGAACGTTCTGTGTTTGCTGGGATAACAATAATCAAGCCTAGAGGTCACAAGTGCATGGACAAGCCTTTCAGCATCAGGTAATGAAAGAAAAATATTAAAAAGTATTGGGCCAAGGACAGACCCCTGAGGAACACAATGACATACCTGTACAACATTAGATTTATTGTTTTCTAAAACGACAAACTGGGTATGATCAGTGAGGTAAGATTTAAACCATACCGGAAATACCAAGCCAAGTCTTGAGTCTCTCAATCAATATAGAGTGACATCAAAACCCCTGATCAAAAACCAGATTGAAAAGGTTCTAAAAGCTTGTTCATGGACAAGTGAGATTAATGAAGTGACACAACAACACGTTCCAAAACTTTGGCCAAAAAAGGAAGTTGAGATATTGGCCTGTAATTAGACAGATCAGACACATCACACCCAGACTTTTTAAGAACGGGTGTGATGGAAGCAACCTTAAGTGCTTGGGGAACAAGTCCAGTAGTAAGGGACTCTCATTTGACACACACATATAGATATATAGATAGATTGTCCTTGCATTCTTTCTTGTGTGACTCATTATGTGGGTCTTTGTATTCTCAGGTGAGAATCACCTAATTATACCGTTCACGCCCATTCACATATTGCCCTTCCAAAAAAAAAAAAAAAAATGTTTTTCACAATTTAAAACAATTCACAGTTTTATGTGAATGATTAGGCAGGGTGATTTTCAGATCATTTTGAAGGAAAAACTCAAGTCTTGTGGATGCATATTTAGTTTTTAGTTTTGTTTAGGCCTTATTTCAGAAACTTTCCTTTTTAGTTTTTTCAATAACCATGCTTAAACAATATTCTCTCAAAAATACAAAAGTACATACATGTTGCTCATATATTATGGTAGCCCTGCTTGTGCTAAATAGAGTGTAATTTCAACTTTGCCATTAATATGTTTTGTAAGCAACTGAAAAAAGCACAAATGTGAGGGCACATTTGGACCCCTAAAACACCTTAGACCCCATGAGGTTAAAAGGATATTTCACTTTAAAATTAATGTTTATGTTTTAGTTAAGTGTCTTTGTTTCCGCAGTAGTTATTTTGATATTTTTAGGTCGAACCATTCTTTCTTGTCTGTCAGTCATATAATGCAGGTATATGGGGTCCACCTCAAAGAGCATGCACAGAGAAGTACAAATTAAACATGATTTAATGACTCGTAAATGCAAGTACACATGATGGCTTAAGACACGAAACGAGCGGTTTGTGTGAGAAAACGAACAGTATTTATATCGTTTTTACCTCTTATAACGACTTATAATCTGAGGACGCGGGCGCTTCGGTGTGCACAAGCGCTGGAAGTGATCTCTCGTGCGTGTATGTTACTCTTTGTTTACACAGAACAGAGATTTTAGGTTAAGACAGGTAATTCAAATGGTACTCATTTGCGCTTATCCGGGATGTTTTAACCATCGTAAAAGAAAACAATTACGCATGAGATAGAGAATCAAAGACACTTCTTCTCGGCTTCGAAGAACAAATCTGAATGAGTGGATGCAAGCCACCTCCTGTCATACCTGTATATCTGGGAAGTCGAATGGAAAATTGTGAAGCTGCTTTGATACAATCTGTATTGTAAAAAGCACTATACTGTATAAATAAAGGTGACTTGACAACATAACTGCAGCACATGCTTGTAACGAACAGAATATTATTTTCATTTGTGAATGCTAATACAGTTTATCATTACAGTTACTGTTCTTGTCTTCAACTGAATTTGCTTCTTCAAAAAAAGCTGTGAGCTTGAGAGGTTTTTTGTCCATTTAAGCATTAACCTACCCTATATTCTGGGAACATGTCAAGCCAATAGTGTCTGGATCACAATGATTCAGTGACATAATGACCCACACATTATACATGCACATAATTAGATACTTTCATCTGTATCTGACAGTTCACAAACAAAGATCTGATGCCAGAATGGTCTGCAATCAGCACACCATGGTGAAGGTGATGATGAAGATGATGCACACTGACAATACAGCCTTTGGAGTAAGCTCAAGGATTTCCAGATGTCATGTATTTGAATCACTTTGTAGCATGAAGAAAGTAATGAATGAGAAAAAAAGGATAAAAATATAATTTGATGGCTATGTTATTTGAAAGAATGCCATCTGACATCAGTTTATAAATTTGATACTGGATTTGATGAGGCGAAGACCTCATCCTCAGGAACTGTACTCAATTCTTTTTTTCTTTTTTTTTTTTTTTTTTGTGATTCAGGCATCTAGCCCGATATACAATATGTCCCCTGACATACACACCTTCTAAAACCTTCTGATTTACTCAATACAAGAACAAACTGAACAAGTGCATCTAGCAGACATTAATTCAGCGAGACAGGGTGAGCAGCTCGCAGGTAAATACCGTGAGAAGAGAGATAACTCATGTCCAAGGCATGACCTTTAAACATTTCAGGCAACATAAAGTCAGTGTTTAATAAAATAGACAAGCTCTCAATGTACATTTCAACAGGAATAGAGATACTGCTGTTTTATGTCCTTCATCAAGACATTCATTTTAAAGTTGATACGCCTAACATGGTGACATGCAACATGTATTTATATTTCTTCAACAATGATAAACACCCTTAAAAGGGTTAGTTCACCCAAAAATGAAAATTCTGTCAGTATTTACTCACCCTCATGTTGTTCCAAACCCCGTAAAAGACCTTCGTTCATCTTCGGAAGACGAATTAAGATATTTTTGATGAAATCTGAGAGCTGGATCACTCCTGCATACTAGTCCATAGGCTTCTTGAGGAATTGAAACTTGCCGGCCTCGAAAAGTTATTAAAGACATCGTTAAAATAGTCCAAGTGACTACAGTGGCTCAATCTTAACTTTATCAAACGACGAGAAAACTTTTTGTGCGCAAAAACAAACAAAAATAACGACTTTATTTCAACTATTCATTTACAGTCAGGTTACTAGTTTAATAACGTAAACTTCTGTTTATTGCGTCGGCCAATAGTGAGCCTACGTGTGACATAGCTCTACGCTATCACACTACGTTAACTGACTACAGGCTCATGGAGAAGGAAGTGAATAGTTGAAATAAAGTCGTTATATTTGTTTGTTTTTGCGCACAAAAAGTATTCTCGTCGCTTGATAAAGTTAAGGTTGAGCCACTGTAGTCACTTGGACTATTTTAACGATGTCTTTAATAACTTTTCGAGGCCGGCAAGTTTCAATCCCTCAAGAAGCCTATGGACTAGTATGCAGGAGTGATCCAGCTCTCAGATTTCATCAAAAATATCTTAATCCGTCTTCCGAAGATGAACGAAGGTCTTACAGGGTTGGAACAACATGAGGGTGAATAAATACTGACAGAATTTTCATTTTTTGGTGAACTAACCCTTTAAGAACATGTTGATGAAGAAATTATATTTGAATGTTTTTCAGTGTGCTCGCAAAATGGTTACTTTACCCTGAGTAACTTTGTTTTCACGCACAAAATTTTACATTAATTCAGAAAACGTTTACGTTCCTTGAATAAACTTTGAATTCACTCAAAAGATTTTTTCATTTGCTCACCAAACTTTTGCACTCACTCGCAAAACTTTCAGATACCCAACAAGAAACTTGCATTTGCTCGCAAAATATGCCAAGCTTTTACAAGCAAACTTAAAGTTTAAAGAGAGAACCCAATAGCAGTGGAATATAAATTTTCCTTTTCCATCCCCCCTTGTAAAACCCAAATATGCATGTACACATTTTTATGTTTGTCTGTCTAACTTCTTCCATTTCTTCTCGTCCCTTACAGCCGATACTGCAAGCCGGGGTTACTACAAGAGCTATCCACTAATGGATTTCTCCCAGTATCAATCCCCTCCTGTACCTTTCCAACCGATGTCAATGCACCCAAAAGACAAGTCCTATCTCCACCAGGTCCTCCCCTCCCACGACATCCATTCCCCCCTGTCCATCTCAATCCCAACCAACCATTTGGAGAGGACCCGCATCCCAAAAACCATCACCCACCCTCAACTTTCCAGCTCAGCCTTCAAAGCTTGGGATTCTGGACAAAAACACATCCACCGACAGACCTCACATCCAGGACACTCTGTTCGCCGACAGATCTACAGCAGCAGGAGACAGTACAGCATAGAAACACTACCGGAGTTCATCTCCCAGCCCACGGTCTACGGGGGACAACCGCTGTATCAGCCCCATCCCAAACTTAAGGCCTATCAGACCAACAGCAAGACGGAGGTCACTGTCTGAGGAAACAGGAATGAAAGAAACAACACTGCTGACCGTTAACGGACTGTATGCGCAGTGACTGAAATGTCAGGACTGTGTAGTCCCCCCCTTCTTTTAGTGCTAAACCACTCTTGTCAATGTGTACAGTATATGGTTTCTCTGTCTTTTGTGTCACTGACAACAATGAGGTGAGACCGGAAGACAGGAATGGTGTCCAAGGCCACATTAACTCAATGAGGACAATGCCATCATCACGTCAGCGTAAATCTAAGTCATCAAGGGACATTATCCTGGCAATCTTTAAACACAACCTCAGGATCAATTTTGTGAACAAAAAAAACAAAATAAACCTGTTCTCCTACCCCAGAAGATGCAAACACCCGGATGTCCGGTCTCACATTTAAGTATGAGGATTTAAGTGTGTTGAGGATTTTATGCTCACAAAGAAAAGTTTTTTGAGTTACTAAATTTCACGGTCTTCCTCTCTGGCATGGGAAGTCTTGTTGCGAGAAAGTCACATTAAAGCTACACTGTGTGATTTTTACCCCCATCTAGCGGTGAAAAGGTATATGACCATCCAGTGAATATTAGTTTCTGTTCCTCTCAATTCCGATTTCGTTTTAACTCCTACGGTGGCCAATGTAGTCCAAGATTAACATGGCTTCCAGTTCGACCTCGTCCATGAGTGTTAACTCAAACGTAAACTTGAATTAACGGGTATGTCCCTCTTTGGCTAATGTACATTCAAGATGGAGGGGCAACATGGCGACCGACATTAGAACCCCTTACCCGTATGTAATTTCAATGGCATATTATACACTCACGAGAATACTTTATTACTTGAACAAAGTAAATATGCATTAATGAGCTCATATATTATTGAAATAACAAAGTGTTTTAGCTAAGAATAAACTAAAAGAGTTACACAATGTACTTCAGAATCTAATCTAATTGTGTTGCATAACCATCTGCAGTGTAATCAGGAGATTTAAATACAGATTCTGATATGCTAAAAAAAAAAACACTAGCATGATTGAAAAATTGAAAACCCAGAGTGATTACAGAAAGCATTGGGGGAGGGAAAATCACTGTTATTCAGATTACTTGTTAATTGAACTGTCGTATAAAAGCAATACCACACTCACAGTCTGGATATCAGCACGGCTGTGATTACCTGTGGCCTTGTGCCTACAGCCAATCAGATGTGCTGATATACAGATCATCAGCACTTGCTTGTGTGATGTTTCTTAAATGTTCATAGTATTTAATTCAAATATTATGTAGGCTACTTATAAGTGCTACCTATCTGTTTCGGTACTGTGTCTTGCTTTACTTTTATTCAAGCTTTTTATTCAGATATTCATGTGATCTGAACGCTTTTCTGTTTTCATGTTTAAGCATATGAAATATATTTCTGTATTCATGTACATTAATTGTATTATTTTAATTATGTAAGAATTGTATTTAAGATTATTTAAGATATTTAAGACACTTTGTTCAGAAACGTTTAAAGATATCAGAAATAGGGGTGTTTGTATTACATTGATAATGCCTGTGTTGGTAATGCACTGTAAAAAATGTGGTAAGGGCTTTGAACAACAATTGGGGAAACCAAAACTGGAATGACAAGCTGAAATCTTTTTTTTAAAATAGGGTTTTATAATCACATTTTGACTAAATATGAGTTAATAAAACAAACAATAACAAGAAAAGTAATGCATGAAATTGTAAATCAACATTATCAGATTAATTTGACGTAAAACTAGTGTAGATTTGTACTTCAAACAATGTCTCTTTTCAAAATAAATTTGTCAGACGTCGAAATGCTTTTGGAGGATTTTGGTTTGGTTTTATTTAGGTTACTTACTTCACCTTAGTGACCTTACCTTTACTTTAATTTACTTACCTTTAACCATCAGCACTCACCATGCGGATGCTGGTACATGTAATGGGGTCACTGTGATATTTGATATTTGTCCAGTACAAACCACAAATAGTGCACTCTAAAAAATGCTGGGTTATTTTAACCCAATTTTGGGTAAAATATGGACAAACCCATGCAGCCATTAATTTTTAAATGACATTTTTTTACCCAATGGCTGGGTTTGTCCATATTTTACCCAAAATTGGGTTAAAACAACCCAGCATTTTTTAGAGTGTGTAAAAAGATTTGACACCTATGACTGCAAGAAAAAGCAGCCTTATCAGATATTATGTCTTATCGCCCTCATTACTAATTGTTTTAATGATGTGGAAATAAGTTTTTGTTCTGCTGTTAATGTCAGTCACATTGTATAAAAGACCTGAGGAGATTGCTGTACAGTTGTATATGTTGAGCCATTATAAGGGACCAGAACCAGAAAAGGTAGGTCTAAAGTCATTTGAATTCAACTATACTTGTGAATGGTGATGTTTTCTCAACTGTTTTGATGTATTAAAAAAGGAAAAATGAAGGCTGCCGTATTTGCATTGGTTTTGATATGCCTGGGAAGTTCATGGACATGTGCAGAATCCCAGCCTCTTGGTAGCAGGTAAGATCATATTTATCAAATCATTTTCAAATAATACATTTAAAAATGTGTCAACACTTTATGATAAAGTTCCATTTGTTTGTTAGTTAAAATGAACTAACTTAAGAATTTATTCATTTTAGTTCATGTTAATTTCAACATTTACTATATTATTAAAATCAAGTTATTTAAATATGATTTATCATAAGCTTACACGAAATAACAATGAACAGCTGTATTTTTATTTAATAACATCACAAAGATACTGTAACAAATGTTTTAGGCCTAATGTTAGTTAGGTTTACACAATAATAACATTAATTAAAAATGAGGCCTTATTGTAAAGTGTCAAGACAATTGAAATAGAAGATTGTTTTGTTTGTATGCTTTATTTATTTTGTTTTCAAATATCATTAATAGCTCAACAAATGACATGCCGAAGTTTAGCCGTCGTTATGTTGAATCAACCATTGCAAGTGACATGAGCAAAATTGTGGACTCGATGGTTCAAAAAAACTTTGTAAACTATTTGCTCAATCAGAGAGAGAAGAAGAGCGAGTAAGTTCGGGGAAGTGGACAGCATGTATATGTTTATGCTATATATTCAGGTTGCATAAAGTAACAGGCAGCATCTGATGCTCATTTACAGACCAACTATGGCAGATGATTCAGACACTCGCATCTTCAATGACCTGCTGAAAAAAGAGTTTGTGATGTGGGTTCAGAGTAAAGCCAATGCCTTCAAGTAAGTTGCCTTCTGCAAGTGAAAATAATCAGGATTTACCATCATGTAAATTGCATTTTATCATATTTTATTCATGACCCACAGGAATCAATGAAGCTACACAGGACGTGTCTCTGAAGCGACCTGGAGAACCAACCCTTGAATTTGAAGAGCAAAGGCGTGTTGGATATATGATTTGAACACTGACATCTCAATGCCAAATTATCCTGAATTCACCCCTATGTCAATTTCTTGTCATGTATCAAATGAAAGTCTGTTATTAAATCCTAATTATAATTAAATTGTTTTCAAAATCATCATTTGTGCTTTTTTAGCAGTAGAAAAAAGGCTGTTTGAAGTGTTCTCTTTTTTTTTTTCAACTGAAGAAAGAAACTGGTTTGGGAAAACATAAGGCTGAGAAAATGGTGACAGAATTTTCATTTTTGGGTGAACTATCCCTTTAATATGTATGCATGTCAACACAGGCTTTATTTGGGAATCTTTTTTTTGTTTGTCTTTTTTGTCAAAATTAATTCTGTCCTCACCTCTCTTTGAAAGCAACTGAGAGATAAATCTTATCAAATCCAACATTCTTCATAATTTAATTCATAACACAAAACACATTTGCACCACCCAGAAGATCAAGGCCTGATGTATAACCGTAGTGTATAACCCTTGCCATACATTCATTAGGATTTGTATTTAAAACAAAAATGGTGTTAGGGGATTTACAGTTAAAGACCTAAGGACCAAATATGATTAATTAAGACCTGGAGTCAGAAGTGCAGTCAATTTAAGATGAGTAAGATTTATAATAAATTAAAGAAAAGTTTTTCTGAAGATATTTGCAGTTTCATCAGGCAGAAGTCAGCTTCAAGACTCATGAAGTTTGTTGGCCGCCCCGCTTACAGTTACAAAGATCACAGCAATTATACCCTTCACCAAGGTCTAAGATAAGTCCTTGCTTCAGGTTGAATGATTCTCATTGGCTAAGAAAAAGAAATTTTCCACACATAAACCGATAGACTGAAGCATATCTCAATCGATTATGCCTCTGACACTCGGACCCTGAAGTTAGGCATGTTGTGACCTTCCAGGTCGCAGATTTGGGTTGCTGGGCGCCAGCATGTCCCAGCCATGACAAGTCAGTCAAACTCCAATAATGCCATTGTTCCTTAACCTGTAACCAAGAAGACTTACAAAGACACACAGCTTTTCCAAGGTTGGATTTGGCCAGGCTCTAACTATAAAAAGGAGTCATCTCAAAACATCAAGATAACATGTTCTTTCTCTCAAGGAGTTAATCTAACAGTAAAGTAAAGCTTTAACAAAGAAATGGTCCCTTAAACTATAGACTTCATATGACCCCTGTGACCTACAGTAGTTGTCAGGGTACCCTAGAAAAGCAGATGCATGTATTGACACTTTAAGTCCATAATTCATTTCTAGAAGTCGGGCTATAAATGAGCAAGCACTGTTACTGCATTCCTGGCCATATCAACTCATTTGATATTGAGAAAGAAAAATATTGATTAATATCTTGATCATAATCTCTCATTACATGATTTTAAATTGAAGCATCGTTGGATACAGCATCCAGAATCCACTTCTTCAGTGGCATAAATCTGGTTTATTATAGTTAACTAAAACTAAAACCATAAATTATGTTACCTATTAAATACACTTTAACTGATATAAAATATATAAAAAAATAACCAATTTTTATTGCAACATTTCTCATTTGCATTTAGTTTAACTTGATAGCATATACTTAAATAATTAAAACAGAAAAAATATCAATAGACTACATAAATATTAAAAACTAATAGGAATAACAAAAACACAACTAAATGACTTAAGCTAATTTAAAATATGAATAAAAAACTATATATAATGCTATCTCAAAGTGGTGGAACTATCTCAAAAATAGCATAAAGCTATCCAGCCACAAAGAAAGGTACGACATCTAGTGGTGCACATATGAAGTTACAGGTGAAAAGGTCCCATTTCAATTTTGAACACGCTCACAGACAGACACAGTTGTGTTGAGTTGTTGGATAAGGGGGAAAAAAAATCTGAAATATTTATTACATATTAAAAATATGTTTTATTTGCTTTAAATGTTTTCCATTGCATATGTTCTTGTTGCACATGCAGCCACACGACTTGTGTTTGTTGATAAGCTGGTGTTTCATGGCTGGATCATTGACGTATCTTTCGTACAGTAACTGCCTTTTTTTTCTCCTCTCTTCTGATCTTCTTCTTCTCTCTCAATGCAGTGACCTTTTTCTGTAACATTTCACAAATGAGAAGAAGTGCATTCTGCTTTCTGCTGGACTTCTGGCTGATTTTGCTGCTGCTTTCAAGCTCCTGTACGTGTGTCTTTTCCCCCTTTGCCGGAGTAATAGCTGAAGCCTGCTCTGTCTTTCTATCTTCTACCTTTGCTCGTCTTTCAGGCCTTCTCTTTTCATCTTGTCTTGTTTTTGTATGTGTGGCTTTTGCACTGTCTCCATCCATCCCTATCGAAGCAATCTTTCGCTCCTTTTTCATTCTCCTTTCTTGTCTCAGATCCACGTCCACAATTTCTACACTGTAAAAAAAAACATATATTTTCATGATTTGTTATCACAACTTTTAATCTTTTGTCAAATCAACTTAGATAATTAAAGTGGGTCATAGCATAATTTCCTTCATTGTATTTACTCAAATGTTTTATTTCAATGAACAGAAAAAGGCAATCAGGTAACTACTTTTTTAAAGTTAAACCAACAATAATTGTTTACAGTGTACACACCTCTCCATTTCCATTACAAGAGTTTTATCTTCAGACTCTCTCTTCTCTTTTATCATATCTCCCCCAGCTTTGGTATCTTCTGCAGGACTGACATCAATCCAAGCATGTTTTGGCGTTGGTGGTGGAGATGCACCTGGAAGTTTTATGGTGTAAGAGTATGTCTGTCTCTCTTTCTTTCTCCTTTGAGGTGGATGCTCTTGCTCCAGCTCAGCTCGTGCCATCTGGACCATCAGTGTTTCTGCCACAGTGCAGAAAGATTTTTCCTCCTCAGAAGGTGGAGTGAGATGCCAAGGTGCTTCCTGGACCATCGGTGGTTCTGCCACTTCAGTGAAGAAGCTTGGCAATTCCTTTTCAGGATCTTCGAACTGAGCCATCAATGGTTCTGCCACAGTGGATACAAATGGCAGTATTTCCTCCTCAGCATGTGCCTCTTGAACCAAGAACCAAGGTAGAGAGTGTAGTGGAGCCACCTGGATCAACGATGGCTTTGCCACGGTGCAGGAACGTGGAAATATTTCCACTCCATGTGGAGTTTGGGATTCAGTCTCCTCCACTGGAACCATCAGTGGTTCTGCCGCACTGGAGAAATCTGGTGATATTTCCAGCTCAACAAGACGGTCCTCAGAGTCCATCTCCTCCTTAATGTCTGTATCTTCTGGAGGTCTCTGGATGGGCTCCTCCTGAATGCTGCTACGTCCTTCGCCATCACTGCTCTGTCTTGACAAGAAGAAGCTGAAGAACCCAACAAGTTTGCTCAGTAATGCCATTTTCTCAATGGATCGCAATGGATCACAATTGACAGGCACTTATCCAAAAATCCAAGCAAATCCAAGCAATATCACCAGCAAAATTCAATTCTCTGATATGTCTGCTATGATATGCCTACTTCTGCAATAGATTGATAAAATATCCAAAATCCGATTTGAAAAAGCAAATATCAACGGTCTGATATCAATGCTAAACGCTGTGTTTTCCTTCTGAACTCGACGGACTGAAGCTCTACTTTGTTTGCACTGTAACCGCGGCCGAATAGTACTATGACGTCAGATTGGAACTCTGCTACATTCGAAACCCAGAAACTCAGTTTAACATACAAAAGTTGGTGTTTTTAAGTGTAAAAAACATGCCATAGCCTAGTTGTTGTGCGATTGGATTCACTAATGTCAATCGTGTAATCTTCACATAAATGTGCTTACACGTTCGCCAATAGGTGGCGAGTTCATCTGTGCATGATTTGAATCTATGTTTGATAAATAAAATGAGAAGATTATGGAAATGAACGGCACGTTACTGTTTTTTTTTTTTTTTTACAAAAACCACAAGGGGATAGCTACATCAAGCACAAAATAAAGTAAAATAAAAATAACAGTATAGGCTACTAGGCCTAAGAAAGGCAGTAAGGGATAGAGTCTAATAAAAAACAAATAACAATTCACAGAACATGCACATCAACTACAAATACACAAAATTAGTATACAAGTAATTAATAGCTAAATAACATTGGACATAAATACATGAATAAATAATAATCTTCAGACAATCAGGAGGTAATTTACAATGAAACCATAATTTCTTTGAGCAACAAAGTAGTTTTATCAACTTTCTTATTAGCTGATAAACAAAGAGAGTCATAAAATAGTTCTAAACCAACACAAAAAAAGAAACTATGTCCACAGCAAGAAGAAAATCTTTTTCTATGACTAGAAATTTTTTCCAGAACTATGTTACGCACTTACAGTACTTTGCATATCGTACACTTATTACTATAGCCTACTGCATACCTACATAACTATTTTGAATATTGAATTTACTACATTTGATAAAATATTATATTACAAGTGCAAGTTTTATGTAGACGTGTGGGTTTGGGGGGTTGTTTTAAAAATCCCATAAGCTGTTAAATATCACTCTATGATAGATAGACTGATATTTACATGAACAGCGCCCTGGGTTGATAATTATTTCCGATGACGTGCCACATTTTAATTAATGACAACGATGATTGTTTGTAATAATTCCGCTTTGTGTTCTAAACTGCATACAAGTACATTTTATGAGCGAAGATCCCACGGAATCTTCCAGTCCGAAGGGTGTCGCTATCAACACATTCACCAAAACATTAGTGTCGATGAGCCCTAACTCGTGTACAGAAGAAACAATACACTTCTGTTGATGTCTTTCCGGACTGTTAGAAACTTTGTAGATAAAGTGAATAATTGACAGAGAACAACACTATTCGTTTGTTTTATTGTAATATATCTACTAGTTTAGTTCGCCTTCCCTTTTCATATTCTGTCTCGATTTGTTTGGCTACTATGTAGCTCGTAGCCGATCAGCAGAATAAGAAGTCAATAGTTTAGAACAGGAAAATAATAACGTTACCATTTAATTTTGTAGTATTAAAGTGATTCTGATTTAGACATCATGCACAGAAGAAACTGGCAGAGGTATTATCACAGCACTTCTGCGAGATTTACTAACTAGGAAAATCATTTTGCATGTTCTTCCTGCTAATATGTTACTGTCACAGGCAAAGTATAAAGAGAGAGGTAATGTCCTGGCCGAGGATCAGATTGCACAGGTGCGTGTACCCTGATGAGCACGACATAGATTTTGAACGAAAGGAAGCTTTATATGTAAAACAACAGTATCAGATATGTGTGTTGTCCCTGTAGATGTCAAAACAATTGGAAACCTTTAAGGTGTCGGTCATGGTTGTCGAGGCACAAAGCAGGAAATCACATTTGTCTCACACAGCACCACTGAGCCTCTACTTGTCTTGTCACATACTTGGGATAATCTGGGATACATGATAGATGTCTTACGCCCTCTTTTGGCTATACCGCACAGTACATCACATAATTCTCTGTCGTTTTACATTACTTCAAAAATATACTGTTTTATTGGGCACACGCACTTGTTTGTTAGTCATTGAACATATTTACGTTCTGAGGATAATTGGGATAATTCTCCCAAAAATATCTCTCATTTTATCACCTTCTTCCAAATCTACAACTCATTGGAACTCATTTCGTCTTTCAATTTAATTGAGTAGGCCTATGGGGAAAAATATGCCATGAACATTGAATGAGACGGTCAGTCCCCAACATATCCTTTAGAAAATCATATATATTAGGGGGGAGTTGCCTAAATGTCCCTTTAACACTATAGGCTAATGGGCTTTATGCACAGCTGCACTACTTCCTGAACTTAAGCCAGCTCCTTGTTTCCTGTCTGCCATTATTGGCCAAATTGATTAATCCAGGTGTGCCTGACCTCAGTAGTCACAGCAACAATAATCAGACATACCTGAATTAATCAAGTTTGCCCAATAATGGCAGACAGGAAAAAAGGAGCTGGCTTAAGTTCAGGAAGTAGTGCAGCTGTGCATAAAGCCCAATCCCAACCTTTTCCCTCATAACAGAAGTCTTAATTCTCCTCACAGCAGCTCATTGGTGTAATCCAGAGTTTTGGGAAGATTGGAGAAACTTAATTTTTCGCCCCAAAAAAAAAAAAACGTAAGGGGTACCACTGTCGTTTTTTTTTCGGGCCCAATTTTTTTATATGTTTCGATATCTCAGCTCTGGAAGGGGCTAGAGCCTCCATTTTTGCACTCAAGTCTGTCTCATGGCCCTCTATCAGAATCCAGAGTTTTGGGAAGATTGGAGAAACTTAATTTTTCACCCCAAAAAAAAAACGTAAGGGGTACCACTGTCGTTTTTTTTTCGGGCCAATTTTTGAGTTTCGATATCTCAGCTCTGGAAGGGGCTAGAGCCTCCATTTTTGCACTCAGGTCTAAGTCTCATGGCCCTCTATCAGAATCCAGAGTTTTGGGAAGATTGGAGAAACTTAATTTTTCGCCCAAAAAAAAAAACGTAAGGGGTACCACTGTCGTTTTTTTTTTCGGGCCCAATTTTTGAGTTTCGATATCTCAGCTCTGGAAGGGGCTAGAGCCTCCATTTTTGCACTCAGGTCTAAGTCTCATGGCCCTCTATCAGAATCCAGAGTTTTGGGAAGATTGGAGAAACTTAATTTTTCGCCCCAAAAAAAAAAACGTAAGGGGTACCACTGTCGTTTTTTTTTCGGGCCCAATTTTTTGAGTTTCGATATCTCAGCTCTGGAAGGGGCTAGAGCCTCCATTTTTGCACTCAGGTCTAAGTCTCATGGCCCTCTATCAGAATCCAGAGTTTTGGGAAGATTGGAGAAACTTAATTTTTCGCCCAAAAAAAAAAACGTAAGGGGTACCACTGTCGTTTTTTTTTTCGGGCCCAATTTTTGAGTTTCGATATCTCAGCTCTGGAAGGGGCTAGAGCCTCCATTTTTGCACTCAGGTCTAAGTCTCATGGCCCTCTATCAGAATCCAGAGTTTTGGGAAGATTGGAGAAACTTAATTTTTCGCCCAAAAAAAAAAACGTAAGGGGTACCACTGTCGTTTTTTTTTCGGGCCAATTTTTGAGTTTCGATATCTCAGCTCTGGAAGGGGCTAGAGCCTCCATTTTTGCACTCAGGTCTAAGTCTCATGGCCCTCTATCAGAATCCAGAGTTTTGGGAAGATTGGAGAAACTTAATTTTTCGCCCAAAAAAAAAAACGTAAGGGGTACCACTGTCGTTTTTTTTTCGGGCCCAATTTTTGAGTTTCGATATCTCAGCTCTGGAAGGGGCTAGAGCCTCCATTTTTGCACTCAGGTCTAAGTCTCATGGCCCTCTATCAGAATCCAGAGTTTTGGGAAGATTGGAGAAACTTAATTTTTCACCCCCAAAAAAAAAACGTAAGGGGTACCACTGTCGTTTTTTTTTTCGGGCCCAATTTTTGAGTTTCGATATCTCAGCTCTGGAAGGGGCTAGAGCCTCCATTTTTGCACTCAGGTCTAAGTCTCATGGCCCTCTATCAGAATCCAGAGTTTTGGGAAGATTGGAGAAACTTAATTTTTCGCCCAAAAAAAAAAAAACGTAAGGGGTACCACTGTCGTTTTTTTTTCGGGCCGAATTTTTGAGTTTCGATATCTCAGCTCTGGAAGGGGCTAGAGCCTCCATTTTTGCACTCAGGTCTAAGTCTCATGGCCCTCTATCAGAATCCAGAGTTTTGGGAAGATTGGAGAAACTTAATTTTTCGCCCCAAAAAAAAAAAACGTAAGGGGTACCACTGTCGTTTTTTTTTTCGGGCCCAATTTTTGAGTTTCGATATCTCAGCTCTGGAAGGGGCTAGAGCCTCCATTTTTGCACTCAGGTCTAAGTCTCATGGCCCTCTATCAGAATCCAGAGTTTTGGGAAGATTGGAGAAACTTAATTTTTCGCCCAAAAAAAAAAACGTAAGGGGTACCACTGTCGTTTTTTTTTTCGGGCCAATTTTTGAGTTTCGATATCTCAGCTCTGGAAGGGGCTAGAGCCTCCATTTTTGCACTCAGGTCTAAGTCTCATGGCCCTCTATCAGAATCCAGAGTTTTGGGAAGATTGGAGAAACTTAATTTTTCGCCCCAAAAAAAAAACGTAAGGGGTACCACTGTCGTTTTTTTTTTCGGGCCAATTTTTGAGTTTCGATATCTCAGCTCTGGAAGGGGCTAGAGCCTCCATTTTTGCACTCAGGTCTAAGTCTCATGGCCCTCTATCAGAATCCAGAGTTTTGGGAAGATTGGAGAAACTTAATTTTTCGCCCAAAAAAAAAAAACGTAAGGGGTACCACTGTCGTTTTTTTTTTCGGGCCGAATTTTTGAGTTTCGATATCTCAGCTCTGGAAGGGGCTAGAGCCTCCATTTTTGCACTCAGGTCTAAGTCTCATGGCCCTCTATCAGAATCCAGAGTTTTGGGAAGATTGGAGAAACTTAATTTTTCGCCCCAAAAAAAAACGTAAGGGGTACCACTGTCGTTTTTTTTTCGGGCCAATTTTTGAGTTTCGATATCTCAGCTCTGGAAGGGGCTAGAGCCTCCATTTTTGCACTCAGGTCTAAGTCTCATGGCCCTCTATCAGAATCCAGAGTTTTGGGAAGATTGGAGAAACTTAATTTTTCGCCCAAAAAAAAAAACGTAAGGGGTACCACTGTCGTTTTTTTTTCGGGCCGAATTTTTGAGTTTCGATATCTCAGCTCTGGAAGGGGCTAGAGCCTCCATTTTTGCACTCAGGTCTAAGTCTCATGGCCCTCTATCAGAATCCAGAGTTTTGGGA